GTAATACCGTCCTTCCAACATCGGACAAAAATGTTGCTGAACATTCTATACTGGACGTTTCGGAGCGTGAAGTGCAGAAGCTGTGCGACAGATGCAAAATTAAGGGGCACGTATAATTTTTGTGAGCATTTAGCTACTTTAATTAAATATGATTTTAAATATGTGTTGATTACAGGGCGATTCTGAACTATGGATTATAAAGAATGTTGAAATTGTCGTGGATTATCATAAGGTCTACTCTTACAGTATTTACGTCGAAGAAGTGAGGAAAATATACACTGTTACATACAACGCTCTGAGAACACCAATCAGACTTCAGGATAAGATGTCGGGAGTTAATATTAATAGAGAATAGTAATTAATTTAAAACACTTTTATAGCTTACTAAAGTAGTGCAAATAATTGACTTTATTCAACAACTCTTAACTGTGGAATTATTCTCGCGGGTCTCTTAGCCACTTGGACAATTCGGAACAGATCCATGGGTCCCCAGATAAGAACGAATTGTACACCCCTGCAGCAGAACCTACGAATTCAAAAGTTATTCTTCAGAAATTCAGCTTCGCAATATCAACAACTGAATTTATTAAAGAAAAGGCAATAGAGTATGCAAAACCAGGTAACTTAAACGAAAGTCTTTTGATCTTCAGTGCAGTGTGTGAAACCTAATTCGGTTTAACCAAATAACGAACGTGCGACATTCTACGGAAGAATATTTCCTCCAGCAAACGCCAAATTATCTTCGCCCCAGCCGCTTGAAGCGTACAGCTTTCAACTAAGACTAGGGAGAGGCATCATGGCCCCACAGCACGTGATTGCATTCTGTGCGTTACTGCGGTGGTGTAGACCCTGGCGGAGGGTGAGTCGCTTTCCTAGTCATATCGACAGACGAGGAGGTGTAATCAAATGTTATTTGGAAGGGTTATGGGGGCGTGAAGAAGAGTGGAGACTCTCTCTTTATTAGTCTCCGAAATTAAACCCATGGTTCTACTAAGATACTCTGTGAAGGCAAACAAAGCAATGTCTAGGAATAGGAAGCATCTCTTTTAATCACCTCATATCCAACCTCCTGAAACTCTTATCATTCCTAATCTGTATCTTTCTCCCACTCTTTGTGTAGGCCTGCACCCCCATTGTAGACAGGATAAAGTGCGGAGAATGTAAAGAGAATAACACAGACAAAATCCAGGATTTCATTCTTCCTAAACAGGGTAGAAAATTGTGTAGTTGGCAGTTTCTATAGACCAAGAACGGGAAAGGAAACCTTCCCAAAGCTCTGTGCAGAAAAAAACGTATAACTTTAATACTGAAAGATTCAGTTGTTCTGTGCAAGATTGTTAATTGCAATCATTTTACGCCATCAACACAACTGTATAAGGTAGTTTCTTTCTTGTAAACAGCATCTCTGTCTGTGATGAATTTCAGAACTTCAGGACTCTAACCTCTAGAAGGAGCTCACACTGAAAATAATGTTGTGTCTAAAATAAATTTCCGAGGCACCTCTGCTTTTAATTTGTGTTCGGCCTTCTTTATAATCCAGTGAAATGGTCTTCTTGCAGCTGGGTGACTTCGCTGATACAAACACATCTGTGTTCAGCCTGTGGTCGGTACGCCATCTGGTATCGGTTGGAGGAAATGAGGAGGAAATTTGAGAGCGAGCAACGTTTTCTAGTTAAAAAGAAATATTGCAGGAGTCCTTCAATGAAAGCCAATCCGTCGAGGAAATGAATTTATGCCAGATTTGTCCCTGTGTCTACAGCTGAGAACTAAGAACTGTCACAGCTACTAATTATGGAAAAACGAATGATTTCACACAAGTTACATCACAGCACCGTTTCGCGCATTAAAAGCAACGATGACGGCTGTTTCACACAATATAATTTTCAACAGATTTTGTCTCGTCGTAACCTCTTTTAAAACCTAAATACGAATACGTTACCTGCAGACTTGCGTTGATGCTTACGAATCTATTATATATCCAGAGACCAGATATTCCGAGGCCTCTCAGCTTCTTCACGCTATTGCTGCTATTGGACGTAAAAACTTTTCTCTTTATATATTTTCAAATTTATCATTTTCTACTGTCCTGCATTTCGAAGTTTATAAGATTAACAGTGTCGTTAAATAAGTCACAAATCGATCAATTGTTGAAGTTCAGACATTTATTAATTTATAAATTAGATCTTCAATAAAGAGCTTTATTATAATGTTCAGTTATTCGTATAACGGCAACTTTCAGCTCGTGGGACAACAACCTTTGAATATTACGTCATATAACTCAACGAAACAAAAACTGAGAGAATCTCTTTACTGTGTAGTAATGTTAGGGGCTTCCGTGTTCTAAATGCAATTAACACATTTTGCTCTGTATAATGAAACGTGCAGAGATTCACGGTAATAACCGCTGCAGCCATTTCTAGGAGACTGCACTTTTGGGGTTAACAGCTTAGAATAAGGGGTTTCCAAACTTTCTCACAAGTGGGCTATTTAGTCAATAAATTTGTAGACACTTCATGTGACGCATTTGTAATAAAATTTTAAAGACTTACTGCATTAGAGCAAAGTGAATCAGATGATACTGAGGGTAGCACGTGGACCGCTAGCCGTCCTTTGTAGAGCCGTGGTTTAGAAGAACGCTAAAAAAACTCTGATAAGCTACTTCCACTATACGACGAAAATTTCGATCAGCCAGCAATCTCATTTCGTCGCCAAACTTTAGCACGGCGTGACATCGGGGAGGGTCATCTTCCACACGACACCGCATCTTGAGCTAGTGATGGTGCAACGCATTGAATACGTATGAACCAAAATTATACTCTGAGTACCACGGGGGCGCGGGGGTTTAATGACCACACTCCTACGTCATTAACATCGCCCCAGAAGGACAAACCACACCATCCAATTCACACGATCTTCACTGCATGTGGCAGTATTCGATTTTCCTTACTCAAACAGCATTCGATAAATTTATCAGTAGGCTAGGGGTTTTTCATTTATGTACAGACAGATCTCCATTAGCTTGCTTCAACATATATCATACGCCGCGAAGTAACTAGCAGACCTACACAGTACTATGTGGAAACTGTGTGGAGATATACGTGGAATAAGAATTTAGAAGGAGTGTAATGCAGTGATTTTGCTGGAGTATAATGGCTGTTGAGTAGCCAGTGGATGCAATATATGAAATGCCTTTCCTCGGTGCTCGTTTAACTGTTGATTTTTATCCTTCAAAGCCACTTCATAGGTAGTCCTGCAACTGCAGTTTCCTTCAGCTGAAGTTCCTGTATTATTTACCTTATGCTTTTATCCATGTTAGCCGAATATAACGTGTCTAACACGAAAAACTGTACGTTCAATCTCAATACTGACACAATGGCCGCCAATACCGGCTTCGTCACAGAAGACCTCCGTTGCAGGTTATATTTCAGTTTCTATAGCAACAGCTAAAAGAAACATTGTTAGGAAAATGCAAAAACAGCGGAAGCTAGACCCAGTCTGGGTTGTAGTGGACCTATTGATTGATTGATTGATAGCAACAGAAATGACGAGAAATCACAGAGGGAGCTTTATCAGAAATGCCTTTTAACTTCAAAATAAAATGCGCAGAAATATGGACGTAGATGCAATTACTCAGGAAGCTTAAAAATAGGTAAAAGGAGTTGATGTGGTCCTGACGGGTGGATGGAGGTGCTGATGGGGTATTAATAAGTGGGTGCATGAAAGAAAAAGCACGTGGATCGAAGAAAGAATGGGTAGATAAACGAATAGATGACTCATTGCTTGGATGACTTATTATGTGAACAGATACATAAATAAATTACTGTGAAGATGGACGAATAATTGGCTGGTCGCTCTGATTCCGCATGTGGATTATTTAATACGTGGATAAGTATACATAAGTGTGCTTCCAGTTCGCAGGTTCCAGAATAGAAACTAACCGCTCACTTCTGTCCAATAGTTTATTGAGGTGTAAACGCGTGGAATTTACCTGTACGCAAGTTGAAAGAGTTCATAGCATAGCGCTACCTTATTAAGATTCCACTATCCTACAAGCATTTTCTCAGCTGAAACACCGAAAAATAACGCAGTCGTGTTGCCAGAGCGCAGGCATGTAGTCCACACGGTCGGGGACTTAATGAGCGATCCCACATTCAGAGCGGGGAACTTT